TATGTATTATTTCATTTATTCTTACGTCAATCGTCGCTAGCTAGTAGCAGGTTATAAAAAATATGTGGAATTATGTTTTTATAAAACTGTTAAACATTTATTAATGATTTTTAAGATAATTAAGCATGCGAGACATTGTCAACTAAAGTTAGTATGTGATAATATGTAAAATCAGTCGTTTAGTGACTCGTGCCACTCGTGTAAAGCGAAATGTAAACATTGTCTTTTGAATGTCTCGTTACAAATTTCGCGGGCGTGAAAAAAAATTGATCTTGTGTTTGTTACATGCAAAATATGGTGTACTTACATTTTCCGTCAAATCTAACCGAAGAGGAATTGATGTTACAAGCCAAATATAATAAGCTTAAAAGAAAGGTACGTACACCCGTAAGGTTATGTTTACAGTTCAAGCTACTGTGATAGTATTTTAATTCTGAACTCGATAGATAAATTACATTTTACGTATTCTCGCAATTAGGTAGATATTATTGGGATTTGTGTCTAAAATGCTTAATTACTGAAATTCTCTAGAGATACATGATCCTTACCGATACCACAGGTTACCTCTCAGATCTCTGACTGTATCTTCTTTTGTTTTACAGAAAAAAGCGCTGCAAGATTTGAAATCGCCGAAACAAGAAGTCGAACGCGTACCACAGGCACCGAAAAGGCCAACGGAAGCACGAGATGCGAGGGAAGTTGCGAAGAAATTAATCAAATCCGGAGTCATCACTGCTCCGAAGACTCGGAAACGGCCGGAACAATCGTTCAAGAGGCCGCGTGGACTAGTAAGGAAATTAAACAGCACGGAGAAGACAATAAGTTCTTATCAACCTTTCTCTGCTACTCAAATGGAAGAAGAGGAAACAGAAACAGTGAAACCCAGAGTGAAAGATCTGTACGATAGTTTCGTAAGCGCCCAAGACACGGAAGATCGGACTGGTGGCGATGCTCAGCCACCGTCTGAGCAAGAAGCCAAACCGCGCGTAGGAAATACGATATTTGTTTGCGGTTACAAAATATCGGAAGACTTCTTGAAGAAACATTTCCAAACGTTTGGAAATATCTTAAATATATCAATGGAAGCTGAGAAAAAGTAACTACCGAGTTGTATCAAAGTATTTCGTATAATCGTAAGAGGTTTCAATGGACGATTGCATTTTTCAGCCGCGGGTTCGTCACTTTTGACAAAGCGGAATCAGCCGAGAGAGCGATAAGCGAAATGGACGGCAGTATGGTCTCCTCCGTTCAGTTGAAAGTTTCATTGGCGCGGAGGCAACCGATAATAGAGCCTGTGACCGACGTCACGTCCAGCTCCATGTGGTCGCCGATCGCGGCGAACTATTCCCAGAAAAGTGCGCACAAGGACAGGAGAGACTTGAAAGTGTACGAGGAAGATCTTTTCATGTGAACGCAATGTTTCCCTTTAATTTTTCTATGGTTTCGTGGGATATGTTGCTGTTACAAGGTTACAGTACATGGAATTTAGTTTTAAAATAAGAGTTGTACATGTAGGTATCAAAAAATATTTTCAACAAATCGCGGATGTCGATATTATAAACTCGTGACTAGACAAACGATCAAACAAGATACAAAATACGTTAAATTTTCTCGTATTATACTCTGTCTATGACACCTTGAATTTCTCCCGCTTCCTACGAAAGGATATCCGTGTCGTTAAAAAAATAGTTGTTGAAACACTTGTTCAAGATCACTTTATAATTCATGTATACGTGCATATATTATTGCTTGGCAATTAAATACAAGTAAATCAATCGGTACATTTGTTCAAAAGTTAACAAGTGTTCAACAATCGATTCATATACATGTGTTTTTTTCAACACCGGAGAACAGACTCTCGACTATCCAAGTCTAACAATATTCACTGTCTTTAAAAACGATGTACAGATTCGTTACTTTTTACACGACCTTCATCTACCAGGTCCGTCCTCCTCTGTAAAGATTCAACGACCGCCCACGCGCGTACGTAGCAACGGTCGAACGCGATCAATAATATTAAGCATGATTCGCGGGTGATTCACGTACCAGATGTTGCATACGTTAAACTCGTTATTTCGGCGGGTTAAAATAGTCCCAGTGATGATGATGTGTTATCGTTCGCGGACTGCTGAAGAGGAATATCAACAGTCCCGTGACCAAAAGTAACAACGCGCACAACGTCAATTCCACTTCTCTGATCTTTTCCCTGGAATCTTCGCCGACCATGGACGACACGTAGCCCACGAATTGTCGCAACGTTTTTAGACCGGCTGTACGGAGCACTCTGATCAACTGTCTCGTGCTATCCGCGATACTGGGCTCGACGGGGTGGCTGGTCAGGGAGTAGAACTGCGTCGGGACTTGCGAGGCCGGGAAGGCTATCAGATGAGTACCGTTCAAAGGAAAGGAAGAGGGTAACGGCGATTGGGAGAATTCCCTCTGCGACTCCCTGTCCGATTGCTCGGTGTACGAGGTGTAAGAGATCACGGCACGTTGCGGTTGTGCGTCGCTGCTGGTGCCATGACTCGCAAAACTGTCCGGTGTGTCCGGCGTCACCGAGATGACGGGCGGTAGCGATCGGACCGGGGAGGCAGTTAGCGGCGTTTGGGAGATACCTAAAGGCGAGGAAGACCTGGACCTCGATTTTCGTACTTTGCGTTCGCCAATATCGGGCGACGTCTGTATCAGCTTCTGTTCCAAGGCCGCGAACTCTGGTGGCGGCGATGATTTCGATTCGACGGACTCGCTGCCACTCTCGGACACGCGATCCGGGGACAGCCTCGACTCCTTGCTCTCTTCCGTGGGTTCCACAGCCGGAGACGGGGGAAGGGAAGCGCGGGACTCCTCGATGGAGCGTTTCCTGCCGCCCCCTGGGCTCAGGGGGTTTCTTTCTGTATCTAGAATTTGTAAGGACTTATCTTGAGTCTGAACGGTGGATATTAGACATGTGCTTGTATCTTTGTCGCTCGGTTCTACAGGCGTGTTTTCTAGTGTTCGTGTCGTCTCTCTGTCTTCTACGACCGTTAGTGTGTGTGTCGGTATATCCTTTGCTTCGGCTACTTTACTCTTAACAACCTTTTGCTCCTCCTTCTCCTCGCCCGCCGGTTTCTCGTCTTCCCGACTCGGCTTCTTCTCCTCTTGCCTCTCTGCAACGGGAATGTCTGTCTTCTTTTCTATCTCCAATAACTTGCTCTCTTCTCTCTGAATCTCTTGCACCCTAGCCACTGTCTCCAGGTGACTCCTGATGGCCATCAGTTCTCTGATGATGGAAGGCGACAGGCTCTCTTCCATACCAGCTCCCATGCTTTTCAACTCGGACGCGGTGATCACTAACGCGTCTACCTCGGACGCGACGATCTTCCCCGCATCGATCTGGGAAACGCTCAGACGATCCACTCTCAGATCTCCCACTTCCAAATTGCTGATTCTCACAGGCTCGTCCGAGAGTAGCGCGGATCGTATGGCTTTTAAATGCGAATCCTCGTCGCGCTCTTGGAGATGAGGCGCCGACAGATGTCTGTCCTCAAACACCTCCATCTCCCTGGCCGGTGACGGAGACTTTAAGGAAACAGTATCGTACGCGGGCTGTTCCTCTTTGCGTAGCCTTTGGGACATCGGCAGCGGTGGTACCGGGGGTGTGCTCATGCTCGAAGGACTCGGTATCCTCTCTGTGGAGACCATGATCTGTGAACCGGACATAGACGGTGCCACGACTAATTTCGCCTGAGTCACTTCTTCCTCTATCACCATATCGTCTGGTAAAGGATCCGTCTGCGTGGCAGTCGTCGTTTCCGTGACCAGTTCCTGCGTCGTCTCGCGAGTGGACCGTTCCTGAGACTGATCCTTCCTGATCCTCGGGGGTCTGGGTGGCGCCGGCAATGGACGTCCCTGCATTTTGCTCAAAACCTCGTTGCTACGGAGATCTTTATGTTCTCCGTCGGAGTCGACGTCCACGTATGGCAACGATTCGGCTGCTATCAAAGTGCTGTCGTAAGTGTCAGTTAGTATACTGATGTCTTTGGCTTTCGCCGGGCCGAGAGTGCTGTAGGCTCTCTGAGGACGTTTAGGCGGAACCGATCTGGGTGCAGTAGCGAACTTGTCCCTCTTCCTTCTCGGAGGCGGAGGCCTCGGCGGCTTTTCTCGTTTCTCGATGATAGCGTAACCGGATAAATCTCTCTCGAGGTCCACGTCGTCCCGTGGGATGTCTTCTTCTACGTAGCCAGCTTCCGGTAACGACTCCGCACCGTGGGACGTTCTATCCTCGTCCTGGGCCACGGAAGTGCCTCTGGATCTAGACCTCCTCTTCGGTGGAACCGGTGGCGGTACCATCTCTTCTTCTCGAAGCCTCGTAGCCAATTTCTGGATGTTCTCCTCGCTCGTCGCAATGATCTCCTCGGCGG